CCCCCCCTCCCGGCCGAGCCCCCCGAGCACCCTGCCGCACCCCCGGCACCCAGGATGGGGGCAGCACGGCCCCAGCGTGGGCTCGTTTCACCCCACTCAGGGGTCGTGCCTCAATTTCCCCACCTGCCCCCTGGGGGGGATTTGCACTGGGGGGGATCCCACACCCCGCTTTGGGCTGGGGGGGGAGGTTTTTCTCACCCTGGCAGATCCCTCCTCGTCCCCCCCAGCCGTTGAGCAGCGCCGCTGGCTGGGCTCCAAGCTCCTCCATTTAACATCTCCGCTCGCGGCCTCCGCCCTGCTGCTTCGCCTGGCACCGGCGTGGGGTTTCACCGAGCCCCCAGATCCAAGGTGCTGGGGGCGCCGGCAGCGGTGGGGAGAGCCCCTCCCGGCACCCCGAGGGCCGCCCCGGGCATGGGTGTGAGTCACGCTCCCGTCACCGCCGGGGCTGGCAGTGTCCTCCCTGTCCCTGCCGGTGGCCCCGGGGTGGTGGCAAGGCGGAGGGCAGCACGGGGTGCAGTGGGGCGACCGGGTCCCTGCTGGGCTCCTGTCCCCAGGGTGGCAGAGCCGGGACTGGCTTTGGGGGAGATGCCTGGGCTGTTGATCCGGCTATGGCGGAGGGGACCTGGCTGAGCCGCCGCGTCCCTGCCAAGGTGGCAATTACTCCCCTTGCTGTTGGGGCATGATGAAAGGCAGGGAGGCCGCCGCTCGGCACTGCTGCCGCCTCTCCTGCTCCCCGTTGCCGGCAGGCAGGAGAAGGCAGAGTCCTCCCGCTCCCTTGTCCCCCTCCGTGCCATTGGCACTGCTGCGGCTCCTGAAGAAGGTCCCCCCGGGATGAGTTGGGGGGGGACCTTTGGTCCCCAAGACCACCCCTTTGGCCCCCCAGTGCTCACGTTGACCCCTCCGTCTCCGTCCTGCAGGTGGTCGGTACGGCACGACCTTGCACTCCTCCTTCAGCTCCCGCTCCCAGAGCAATGGCTTGGACCCCAAAGCCTCGGTACGTACTGGGGTGGTTTCATCCCCCACCCCGTGCCAGCGCCCATCACCATGGCAGCTGGGGATGCCGGCAGAGACCCAGCCGCTGGCTGTAGCTTTGGTTGTGCCAGGGGAGGCTCTTGGCTCCGTCCTTTCCTCTCCCCGTGGTGGGGATGGAGGGACAGGCTCGTGGGCACCCCCTAACCACATGCCTTCCCCCTGCAGCTGTACCAGCCACTGGCCAAGAAGGATTTTGGCACGCTGAAGGGCAGCGGCTGGTCCTCGCGCTCAGCGGTGGACCTCACCCCACACAAGCGGATGGCGACCATCAGCAACGGGGGCCTGGCGAAGGGCCGGGGCTACAGCACCGGCTATGCCATGTCGCAGGCTGCCAACACCTCGCCGCGGCCCAGCTCCTTCCACGAGCGCAACTACCGGCCCCGTCAGAACTTCGACACCCTCTCGCTGCGCTCCCTGCGGCTGACCGACGGGCCGCTCCAGCCCACCGCCATCGCAGATGACCGCTATAGCGTCATCTCAGAGCAGCTGGATCCCGTGGGTCACCGTCCCCCCTACAAAAGCCGAGTCAACGGTGGCTTCGCCCGCTCCTACACCTTCGAGAGGCAGATGAGCGCCGGCTCCACCGCCAAGGCCGCCTCTGACTGGCTGGAGGGCGGCGAGGTGACCCAGAGCCGCACCATCCGGGCGCCTGCCATGCGCACGCTCCAGCGCTTCCAGAGCAACAACCGGTCGCGGCTTAGTACCGGCTCCTTTGGCAGCATCCAGGCAGCCTCGCAGGCAGGCATCGGGAGCTCGTACATGGGGATGGTGGAGCACAGCTCCCGCGCGCCCTCCATGCACAGCCTGGCCGAGTCCAGCCACCACCTCCAGGACCAGCGTGCCATGGAGATGTACAATGGGCACAGCACGCTGCTCAGCCACCAGTCGGGGGGGTGAGTGCCAATGGGGCTGGTCCGGCACTGGCTTAGTCCTTGTCCCCACCTTAGTCACTTGTCTGGTTGAGGGCAAAACCCTCCACCTCTTGCCTGGAGTTACCTTGCTGCAAGGGATGCAGGAGGAGGGGTGAGATGGTGGGCACAATTTGGCCCCATAGTGATGGACCATGGCATGGGTTGACCTCCAAGCATGTCCTGCATGTGGCCTTAGCTCCTCTCATGGACACAGCCTGAGACATGAGGGTAGGAAGATGCTCATTCAGCTGGGTCTGGAGTCCTGTGCCCCAAGAGTGTGGTGGGGAGGGAGATGGGTTGACGCATCTCCTCTGAGATGCAGAACGTGGTGGGGTGGAGAGGTGGAGGACTCCTGTGGGATGCTGTGCTTGGGCTCTTCCTCACCTGCCTGTGGCTTCCAGGTTTGATGACATCGACCTGCCCTCGGCAGTGAAATACCTGATAGCCAGCGACCCCAACCTGCAGGTCCTGGGTGCTGCCTATCTCCAGCACAAATGCTACAGTGACAGCAACGCCAAGAAGCAGGTGAGCACCCAGGAGCCGAAAGGGAAGGGGCTGTCCCCAGCCCCTCTGCCATGGTGGGGCACCCCAGGGAGGGTGGAAGAGATGGAGGGAGCCCCAGCCCCCAGCTGAATGGGAGAGGGGCTGGGTGTCTCAACCCGGCTGGGCCGTCCCCTCCCAGGCCCGCAGCCTCCAGGCCATGCCCAAGCTGGTGAAGCTGTTCAACAGCCCCAACCAGGAGGTGCAGCGCCATGCCACGGGTGCCATGCGCAACCTCATCTACGACAACGCCGAGAACAAGCTGGCGCTGGTGGAGGAGAATGGCATCTACGAGCTCATGCGGACGCTGCGGGAGCCTGACGACGAGCTCCGCAAGAATGTCACAGGTTGGAGACGATGGCAGGGGCGGGCAGGGGTCCTCCTCCCCTGGGGGTGGCACATGGTGCCCCCACCCCATGGGTAAAGCTGGGATGACACTTCATGGGGATGACCTCTTTTGCATCGTTACCCACCCTGTCCCATGGCTGCTCCTGGCTGTGGGTGGTCGTCGTGAGTCCCCTGGGGAGGTGAATCGGGGTGGACGTGCTCTCCAGCCATTCCTGGGACTGAGGATCCCCCTCTGTGCAGGGATCCTGTGGAATCTCTCCTCCAGTGACAACCTGAAGGATCGCCTGGCCCGGGACACGCTGGAGCAGCTCACGGACCTGGTCCTGGTCCCCCTCTCTGGGCTGGGGGGTTCGGGTGTCATCCAGCAGAACCCCTCAGAGGCGGAGATCTTCTACAACTCCACAGGCTTCCTCAGGTACCCGCTCTGGGCCGCCTCCGGTCCTCCCACTGTGGGTAAAGTTTTGGGTGGAGGAAGAGAGACACCATCTGTGCTGTATACATAGGGAGCAAAGTCCCCAGGCCTCTTTTCTGGGGTCCCCATCCCTTGCAGCAGTTGTGCATCAAGGCAAAGCCTGGTCAACCCCATGGGAGAGGTATTAGCTGCTCTCCCTGTGGTGGTGCCCAGTGGCAGGAGGAGGGTGGCCATGGGGAAGCCCCTTCTTGCCGTGACGGACCTGTGTTCCCTGTGCAGGAATCTCAGCTCTGCCAGCCAGCAGACTCGGCAGAAGATGCGTGAGTGCCACGGGCTGGTGGACTCCATGATCCACTACGTGAACAGCTCCCTGGAAGTGGGCAAGTCAGAGGACAAGGTGAGCCCCGGGAGCTGGGTGCTGGGAGGGTTTGGGTGCCCTCAGACGGGGTGCTGCTCCCTCCCTCCTGGCAGCTGCCTGGCCAGCTGCAGGTACAAAGGTACGTCTTGATGTGACGGTGAGAAAACCATCTGGCTCCATCTGGGCTTACTGGGCACAGTGGGGCACTGCTGGTGTCATCGGGGTGACTCTGGCCATGGAGCCCCATGGGATTGCACTCCAGGGGATGTGCCAGCTGGAGATGCCCTGGCAGGCAGCACAAGGACTGACACCCTCACATCCCATCTCCCTCCCCCCCAGAGCGTGGAGAACACCGTCTGCGTCCTGCGCAACCTCTCCTACCGCCTGTACGACGAAATGCCCCCGTCCTCCCTCCAGCGCCTGGAAGGCCACAGGAGGAACAACAGCAGCATGGTGACGGGGGAGCTGGTGGGCTGCTTCAGCCCCCAGAGCAAGAAAGCACGAGAGGTCAGTGGCTGGGAAGTGGTGGGCACCATGGCGGCCGTGTCACCTGGGGCGGGGTTGGCACTGGGAAGCAGCTGGCAGTGGAGGTGACGCTGGGGCGGAGGTGGACGCCGGCCTCGGCTGATGGGTGGGACACGCAGGTGAGCTCAGCCGAGGGTGAATCAGGTGTGTGGGGTGAATTAGGGTGCCAAACCCCCACTTTGCTATGCCATGGGACATGACGCAGCCAGGGTGACCTGCCAGGTCACTGCCAGCCTGGAGCTGCCCAACGGTTGAGGCCAGGCACGAGGGGAAAAGGGGACACCAGCAGTGGGGGATACTGCAGAGGGGACATCCCCTGTGAGTCTAACACTGCTGCCCCTATCCCCGCAGCACTACCTGAATGCGGACATCGTCACCTTCACCGAGGTCTCCAAGGACCCCAAGGGCATGGAGTGGCTCTGGAACCCACAGATTGTGGGCATCTACAACCGGCTGCTGCAGCGCTGCGAGCTCAACAAGCACACGACGGAGGCGGCCTCGGGCGCCCTGCAGAACATCACTGCCGGGGACCGCAGGGTGAGGGCGCGGGAGGGGAACGTCCGCTGGAGCTTGCCCTGTCTTGCCTGCTTGTCTCCACCACCTGGCCAGTCACAGCTGTGCCCGGGGAGGGGATGCACCTCCCTGCGGGTTGGTACCAGCCTTTCCTGGGTGGGGGACGTGACCATCACGCTACTCACCACCCGGGCATGGGTCACCCGACCTGGCCCTGTTGAGCAAGAGGAGGAAGAGGAAGATGGGGTGGGAGGAGGAGGCAGCCGGTGGGTCCCCGGCAAGTGTCTCCAAGCGGGTGTTTGCCTTGGCAGTGGGCGGGCGTGCTGAGCCGGCTGGCCCTGGAGCAGGAGCGCGTCCTGAACCCCGTGCTGGACCGTGTCCGCACCGCTGACCACCACCAGCTGCGCTCCCTGACGGGGCTCATCCGCAACCTGTCCCGCCACGCCCGCAACAAGGACGAGATGTGTGAGTGCTGGGGAGGGACGGGCAGGGCCAGGGCTGCGGGGAGGAGCCCGACAGATGCCCTCTACCCTTTTCCTCCTTGGTCTGGCCTCCAGTTACCTCCAGCCATGTCTCAGCACCTTCCTGCCTGCTGCATCCCTCCTCGCAGCCAAGTGAGCGGTGGCCAGTCCATCCCCCATCCCCAGTAACCGAACACATCCCCCCCTCTGCCTCCAACCCCACCACCGCACTTGGCTTTGCCCCTGTCCCCCAACCCCTCTCCCAGGTGCCAGGGAGTCTCAGCAGAGACTCCAGAGAGCAAAAGGCTTGAAGATGTCCCTGGTGCTGCCCCGCAGGTCCTTGGTTGGACCTTCTGTCCCCTCATTGCCCCTGGGAGGTTGTAGGGTTCCTCCCCAGGCTGCCGCGTGTCCCCTGGGTGTGGCCACCAGCCCTGACGTGATGCCTTTGCCCACCAGTAACCAAGGTAGTCAGCCACTTGATCGAGAAGCTGCCGGGGAGCATCGGGGACAAGGCGCCGCCCGCTGACGTCATCGTGAACATCATCGCGGTCCTCAATAACCTGGTGGTGGAGAGCCCCATGGCCGCTCGTGACATCGTTTACTTTGATGGTCTAAGGAAGCTCTTCTACATCAAGAAGAGAAGGGACAGGTGGGAGCTCCCTCTCCATTCTGCTATCCCAGCTCAGACCTGGGGTCCAGTCCTGCTCTCCCCTTCCTCCTCTGGTCCAGCGAGGTGGAAGAGGGTCACAACCAGTCTTCCTTCCCAAGGCTTGGTGTTGGGAGTCCCCAGACCAGCTCAGGGTGGCCTCATGGCCACCTTCCAGCCCTTTGCCACCTCCTCAGGACACCCCACCACAGGGTTGCCCATCACTGCAACCACCTTCTTCCCATCTGGGTGCTTCCCACCTCTCCTGCCAGAAGCGCTTGCCACCCTGCCCATTGCGGTGGGCTCCAGCCTTTAGTCTTCTGCCTCTTCCCACCAGCGCTAAGTCCTCAGCCCCTCCGGGCCCTTCTGGGGTGGTATCCTTAGGCTGATGGGCACCCACCATCCCATGGCTAGTGGTATCCAAAGCTCACTGCATCCTGTCCCTGTCCCAGCTCGGACAACGAGAAGTCCTCCAGAGCAGCAGCCAGCCTTCTGGGCAACATGTGGCAATACACCAAGCTCCACCGGGACTTCAAGATGGTACGTACCAACCTCCGGTGCCTCCTCCAGCCGGCGGGATCCTGGGGTGGATCCTGAGGGTGGATCCTAAGGGAGTCGAGGCCAGGGGCTTCACCCTGGAAGGCCATGCCACCCAAATGCTTCCAGGCATATGGTGGGCCCCAACTCCGTGCCTCCCCCTCCTGAAGGGGTAGGGATGTCCCCAGAGCATCGTCCCTGTGGTGGCAGCTGCACCGGTGGGGTGAGGACAGCCACGTGCCCAACATGGGGACAGCGTGGCCCTGTCAGTGCCAGAGCAGAGGGGGTTTGTGTTCGCATTCCCACTGCCCAGCGAGGGGTGGGCAGGGGTGTCCTCGGGAAGGAAAGGTGATGGCGCTGGTGTCCCCCCGTGTGATGGGTGGCCTGTCTCCTTGCAGAAGGGGTACCGGAAGGAGGACTTCCTCGGCCTGTGAGGACAACCCCCGGGAGCCAGACTGCCCAGCCCTGACTCTCCCCGCCGGGATGCTCCTTGCTGCCGGCCGTGCCCTGGGGAGGCTGCTCGCCGCCGGGTCCCCGCTCCATAGCGTAGTCCCTGCTGCGTCCCTCGCGCCTCCCCCCCTCCACCAGGTCCCCCTTCCCCGGGCGGGGGGACACTTGTCCTCCCTCCTGCCGCAGCCTTAAACCCAGCGACTGCTTTTGGCTCTGCTGTGGGGCCCCACTGGGACCCCAGTTAGTTGGGGACAGCTCTATGGCACCCAAGGGTCCTCAGCCTCTGGGGACCCTGCCCGCTCCTGAGGAGCCGGCTGCAAAGCTCAGCTTGTCTTGTGGTTCGTCGGAGGGGCAGGAGCTGCAGGGCTTTGGGGAGGCTCCTGCAAAGCAATGCTGGTGGGAATGGGGGCTTCTGGGGGCACCCCATCCCAGCTCCCCGAATCGCGGCGCACCGGGGGCTGGGAGGG